TTGTGCGCATGCATGGGTTCATAGAGTAGCTTATATATTACCTGAAGTTTCACTCTTCTATTTAGAGTCATGCTTCAGTAGTGAAAACGTTAAAACACAGTTTATTGCTGGAGTGGTTTTGTAGACTTCTTTCCCAACTGGCTATTTATTCATGTTCCCTGTCATTCAGGAATCTGACACTGAGAGAGAAAAGGATCTGTTGTACAAAAATCGGTTACTACAAGATGAGATTGCTATGCTAAGACTAGAACTCGATCAAGTAAGACTTAGGCACCAGGAAGAAGCAGGAAAATATTTAGAGGAAAATGAGACCTTGAAAGAAAAAAATGAAGATCTCGAAAAGGAACTTAAACTGAACGAGGAAGCCTTAACACAAATGGTTTTCCAGTACAACGGGCAGCTGAACTTATTAAAGACAGAATCTGCAGTGCTAACTTCCCAACTTGAGCAGACAAAAGAAAGCAAAGACAGACTAGAGACAGAAATTGAATCATTTCGTTCCCACCTGAACACTGCTCTTCAAGAGGTTGAACGTCATCAGTCATCAAAAAGTGATGTTGAGCGAACGTTTCAGAGAGAACGCGATGAATGGCTTCGCTTGCAAGAGCAGCTCCGTCACAACCTCTCTGACATGCAAGAAACCAACAGGAGCTTGTTGCAGCAGCTGAGTAAAGCTGAAGGCAAAACTAATAGTCTAGAAAATGAGCTTCACCAGCTGAAACAAACACTCGGAGAGAAAACGTTGCTTTTAGAAATGACACAGAAAGAATTAAGTCAAGCCCAGTGCCAGGTAAAGGAATACGATCATGCTTGGCAACTGGAGAAGGATCAAGTAAACAAATTTCTAGTAAAGCAGGAGTCCATGCAGGAGCGATTGGCCCAGCTCCAGAGTGAAAACATTTTACTCCGTCAGCAGCTGGAAGATATACAGAACAAGGGGATCATCAAAGAAAAAGTAGCGAGTGATGTACAGGACCGTTTTAATGATATTTTCAACAAACTGAGAGCTGATACTGAAAAGCAGGTTTGCTTAGTGGAAGAAAGAAACAAGGAATTAAATGCCAAGTGTACTGATTTAAGAGAACAAGTATTTAAATATGAGGCTGACAAAGTAGAAAGAGAGGTAAGTATACACTTAGAAAGAACAACTTAAAATTTGTCAGTTGCTTGAAATTTTTTATGTTTCTAAAATATACCAGGTGTAAGTTTTATGCATGGCACCAAAAAATACTGATTTGTTCTGGTTTGTCATTTTTCTCTTGGAATCGTGGATGGTTTTGGCAGACAGGATGCTACAGCTCAGATCTGAACAGAGAACAGAAAAAAGGTATCCAGGTCTAAGCTTTGACTGAGAAAGGTTATTCCTCTCTTAGAATTTTTTTCATCTCTTCTTTAGTCCCTTTTATGCCCTGCAGAATGATTTTATGGATTGCACTGATGGCAAATATGAGAACCACATGAATATGCAAGGACTGAGAAATGAAGATACAGAGACGTGAAAAGATGGATTTATATTAAGCTTCAAGAGAAAAGAAAAATCATTTCTCCATACGTTGCTATCAAAATTGAAAAGTATTAGTAGTGTCCAGGTGTTAATTACATACCTTTGATCACCAGAGTAATAGCTGCAATCAAACTGTGGCTCTTATGTCGCAACAGATT